TGTTGCTTTAGTTTTGCACTCCAGTGTAGTATAATAAAAGAATATTTTTTTGAAAAAATTCTTTTTTATATCTTGTGAATTTTTTGTTGTTTATGACACTGGGTTCCGCTAAGTGATTTTATACTCGTTTGTGCAATGTTTTTCAAAACTAAGGTGGAATGGAATTAATTGGATTTAGACCACAGTGTTAAAAACTATACGATGAAGCATCTTCTTCCATACGTAAAAAAACCTTTTAAGATAACATGTTAATAAAAAAACACCTAAAACTCCTGTAAATATTATTTCCCAGAGAAGAAAGCCGAATAAGAATGAATAAATCAAAAGTCTTACCACTGAAATAAAAGGAACACTTATTTACACATCAAAATTCGACGTTAAAATCAGAATTTATAAGCAAGATCAGCTCCTAAATTTTGAGCTGCAAATCTGCATAAGACACAGAAGTTTCACACACAATTTTAAACGCTTTGATGCCATTCAGAAAAATATCATTAATTTAAAAAAATGCCTCTCAATGTATGTGGCAGTGAAAACAAAGTAAAGAAACTCAAAATATGAAACGTGATTGCAGATTGCTTCAATAAGTCTATATTTTGACATTTTGTAGGAAAAAAATGCAAACACATATCCCAATTACTAAGTACAATTCAAGGGTAGAAAACACCTGGAACATGAATTAATGTTATTAAGGGGGTCACTTCACGCAGCATTTTCCCTATCTCCGTAATGTTAAAAATGATCAAGTTTAAGGAACATTTTTTAAAAATTGGCTGGTTGTACAGTCATGAATTTTTTTGTGTGTATTCATTGTATTGTTTATATTATTTTAATGGGAGCATTTTTCAAAATTTGATTAGTTTTTTTAAAAAAAATTCATATGTGGAGTAACACGTCAAAAATTTTAAAACGATGAAAATTCTTGTACATTTTAATCCATAAATATTTTTTGAATAATGTTTTTGACAAAATCTCTCATTAAAATATTTATTTGTGTAGTGTTAACATATGTGCAAAGTTTCAAGGCTGTAAAATAAGTAGTTTTTTCAAAAATGTTCCTTTTGTGTTGAAATTTACACTTTTGAGAAATAGTGATTTAAAGTAAAAACTTACTATTAACTAATGCATACCAGAACTATAACTTGGATTGCTAGTGTCATCTGCAAGATCATCTTCTAGCCTACATTTTAATTGTTTGTTTTTAATTCTGGCTTCTTTGGTTCATTGTAAAACTGACTATTCTGCTTTCCTAATACACGAATGATCTACTTTTTGCAATGCTCGACATTTGTAAAATTCAAGTGTTGAATGTTTAATACATCTAAAACTTTCAATTTGGTAATGAAGCTTTGATTATATAAGTATATAGCTTCATGTACTATAGTTTTGAAGTTCCCAATTGCACAAATACAGTTTTGGAATTATACACCAAAAACTATTTCCGCTTTCACTAATATTTTGAGTTTTTATCAAGCAAGCATCCAGATAAATGTTCAAGATTAGTGACCTCTAAATACTTTGTTTATGCAATTCCTAATTACAATAGGTAAGTCGTGTTTATGCTTGTATGTGTAACCTTTCAGTATGTGGACATATTAAATCTACACCACGAGTCACATCCCATGGGGCATAAACCGTGTCGTAGATTCAAACCTGTGAACATTTTATCAAAAATTATAGCCCATATAGCTTGCCTTATGGCTGACAAATTTTCCCGAGTTGTTTTGAACAGCCAAAACATAGTAACTTTGCAATTTGTTTATTTCAGCATCTGTAAAGCCATTACGGCATCCTAGAGATTTTTTGTCTTTAAGCTTTCTGTCTTTTAATTTTAATTTTAAGGCCCTAAGTCATGTCCCCATCATTTTCTCAACATGATTACCGCATTCTAATTGTTCAATATTGACATATCCTTGATTCTAAAACTGATTTGCATGCTTTAGAGTTCCCATATAGTCCAAATATTGTGTATATCGTAAATTGTGTAATGTCTGCGAGTGATGAGAGATACAAAAAAAAGTGCACCTCTTCAACTTCCATTCCCCTACTATTTTCAATGTAACTTGCCGAACACTCATTGCTATGTACATCGCTGTTAAAATTACACAAACATTTCTGCGATAATATTTTAGCATCAACAACTTCCCAGTGTCCAAACTAACTGCCGTAATAACACCATTTAGAAATATATAGCTTATTTTTAGCCAGGTACCATTGATAGCCACAGGTACATTTGGTTATCCATTATTAAATATTGTTTCGGCAGCAGCTAAAGCCATAGACACTTTGGTTACTTTCTCTGTCACATTATTTAATGTATGCATGGAATCACAAAACCACTATGGTGTAAGTGACAAATGCATAACTCCGCAAAATATTTTTGCAACTGCTACTTTTTAAATAGACCTCATAGCATATGAAATTCTATTGTGTCCACTTCATATAATTTTGTACCTTTTTTGTTTAACTACTGTTTTAGAAAACCTGGTATTAAGAAATGTTTGAATAAGACCACAAAAGTCACACAACATATTAACAATTTTGTAGCCAAACCGTAGATTTGGTGACCAAAATTTATGTGAATACCTTGGTTTTTACATTAATTTTATGTAATTAATGTTGTTTCAAAGTACAAAAAAACAGCATAATGTCAGTAATTTCACAGAAACATTCAAATGAATCTAAAAAAGAAACATACTCTTTATTAAACTTACCTAACTTAGATTTTAAAGCTGATTTATTTATGTTGAAATTGTCTGACTTATCAACATTTAAATCCATAAAAGGTTGGAATGTTGTACATTTCTTTCCAAACTCTTTCGTTTTTTAAACATTTTATTACTTAACAGAGTTTAAAAAACGTTTTGTAAACGTTTTATTAATGTTTTTGATCGAAAACCCTATTGCACACGATCGCAGAAATCCGTTGCATTTAAGGAGGTAAAAAATAGGCTGTAAGTAAACAAACATCTATAACTATTCACTTCACTTCTTTCCTGGATAAGCTGCTGATCAAAATAAATTCTTTTAATCAATTTAAACCATTTGATAAGGCTGAAAAGTAGCATGTGTCTTTTGTTTTGATTTGAGAGGGCGTGGCAATCAGCGGTTTTAGGGTTTGACAGATGTAAACAACTTTTTTAAAAAAATATTAAAAATACTTCTAATTAAGCTAGAGCAAAAATTTAAACTGTATTAGAAAGAAAAAGAATGGTATTTTATGTTTCAATCAAAATTGAAAAATCGATTATTTCATGGATTTTCGTGAAGTGACCCCCTTAATGCAGTGTTTCTCAAACTTTCAATACTGGCGACCCAATTTTCTATCATAATTTTTCCGCGCGCGCCCCCTGTACAACAATAATGTATTTACTGCAATAAAAATGCACTTTGAGAGAGAGACGCTAAAGTTACAATACGATCTTAATTATAAACCGTACAAATTAATATGATAAGTATATTAAATTTTGTGTATATGTAACTTTTAAGTAATATATATTTTAAGATTACTTAAAATATATATTACTTACTTATTATATTATGTTATTTTTCTTTCTCTAATTTTTAAATTGGAACAGATCGCAAAATGATATATTTAATTAAAGATTTATTTCCTTCGGCATCCATTTCTTAAAGTACAAATGTCATTAGAAAAATAGTCTAGTCTATGTTTCTCGCTATCATATCCATCACATCTAGCATTATCGGGTACGTTTGCATGAGTCTGGGCAACCTATCGGACGTCTGCGCAAAACATGTAAAAATGCTTTTCCACGTAAAATTCCAGGCAGCTCTTTGGTCGACTCGATACTTCTATAGCTACCGAATCTAGCTTGAATGTACATTTTTTAATTTGCACGTTAATTGTAATTCACGGTAATTAGGTATTTACGGCAGTAGATTAAAACAAAATCATACATATATTTTTAAGTCGTAAGCAAACATTCGACGATAATAAAGGATCAACAAGTACACAGACGAGCATGGATCCGAAAATTAAATCAAGGCAATATTCTCCAAAATACTTATATTATGGATTTACCACTACTGAAGTAAATGATGGGGGGAAAAGCCTCAGCTCGCTATGTGTTAAAACTTACAAATCTGAAGAACAACATGTGAAAGTTGTTTTTAAAACCATGTAAAATCATTTAGCAATGTTGGCAAGTAATTTTCAAATGTATTTTCTGGATGAAAACAACTTGGTAGCAAGTTACGAGTGGATTAGAGATCTATTTCAAGACCCTCCAGAAGGGCTCTCTCAACTTCCGAAGAAATCTTTATAGATTTCACATCCTGTGAGTGTGTGTGAAAAATTAAAAGGCAATTTTGTAATAAATCGCTCTTTGAATTTTGGGTAGAGGTGGATGAGGAATTATCTGTACTGAAAACAAAGGAACTTCGTATACTATTGTAAGTGTTATAAATTTTTTTTGCACACAATCATTATTCTTTTAAGGCAAAGGACCAATAAATATTGAATAGAAGAACAGCATAGACGATGTGACCGAGTGAGGTTAAGGCGTTGGTCTGCTAATCTATTGGACTCTGTCTGCGTGGGTTCGAATCCCATCCTCGTTGTGATATTCTAAATTCTGTGAACTTTTTTTTACACACAATCATTATTCTTTAAAGGCAAGAAATTATAAATATTGAATAGAAAAGCAGTATGGATGAGGTGGCCGAGTGGTTAATGTGATGGACTGCTAATCCTTTTGGCTCTGCCCGCGTGGGTTCGAATCCGATACTCGTCATGATATTTAAAATGCATTTTTTCAGTAATCCTTATTCTTTAAAGGGAAAAGATAAAAACATATAGAACATAAGAACTACGTAGAAGAGGTGGCCGAGTGGGTGATGCGATTTTACTGCTAATCTATTAGGCTCTGCTCTTGTGCTTTAAAATCTTATTCTTGGCGAATTATTTTAAACTCTAAATTTTTTTACACACAATTATTCTTATTTTAATTTAAAGCATTAATTAAAATGTGTATTAGGCTGACGAGGTTGCCGAGCGTTGAAGGCGATGGACTGCTAATCCATTGGGCTCTGCTCGCTTTGGTTCTAATCCCAACGGCGTCGTGAAATTCAAAATGTATTTTTATTAATCATTATTCTTTTAAGGCAAAGGATAAAAAAATATAGAACATGAGAACTGCGTGTACGAGGTGGCCGAGTGGTTAAGGCGATGGACTGCTAATCCTTTAGGCTCTGACCGCTTCATTTCGAATCCTATCATCGTCGTGATATTCAAAATGCATTTTTTAATAATCCTTATTCTTTTAAGGCAAAAGATAAAAAAAAATATAGAACATAAGAACCATGTAGACGAGGTTGCCAAGTGGTTAAAACGGTGGAATTCAAATCGTTTGGTACCTTTTCACGTGGGTTTGAATCCCATCCTCGTCGTGATATTATATATTCTGTGAAATTTTTTAAGCCCAATCATTATTCTTTTAAGGCAAAGGACCAATAAATATTGAACATAAGAACAGCGTAGATATGATGGCCGTGTGGTTAAGGGGATGGATTGCTAATACATTGGGCTCTGCCCGTGTGGGTTCGAATCCCATTTACGTCGTTATAGTCAAAATGCCTTTTTTTAGTAATCATTATTCTTTTAAAGCTAAGGATGAATAAATATTGGCCGAGCGGTTAAGGCTGTAAGATCGTCTTGTGATATAATTAATCACCTCTAATTAACCGGATTTACCGTTTTTATTATTTCCTTCAAAATACATCACTATATTAATAATTTCATTTGCAATTAAAAATCGCATGGGTAACTACAGGCAGCTCCTCCATTTTTCGTTCGAGACTACCCTTCTTTTTCTTATTTCTTCCCGCTCAAAAGCCAAAACAGTTCACAGCACGCCCTCTTTCTAGTCTATCGCGTGCTATGTGTCAAACCTCCTAGTTTACTATGTGCCACGCTGTTACAAGGCGATGGTCTGCTAATCTATTGGGCCCTGCCTGCGTGGGTTCGAATCCCATTTTCGTATTGATATTCAAAAAGCATTTTTTGCTACATATAATCATTATTCTTTTAAAGTGATAGATTAATAAATATTGAACAAACACGCAGAACTACTCCGAAATTTTTACACGCACAATCATTCTTTTTTTATTTCATCGGATAAAAAAAAATTGAACAGTGGTACTGTTTTCGCGAAGTTGCAGAGTAATAAAGTCAATGGACAGCTAATCCATTGGGCTCTGTTCACGCAGGTTCAAATCCCATCCTCGTCGTGATATTTTAAATACATTTTTTATTACATGTATTCATTATTATTATAAGGCTAAGGATCAAAACATATAGAACATAAGAACAGCGCAGACGAAGTGGCCGAGTGGTTAAGGCGATGGACTGTTAATCCATTAGGCTCCTCCCGCGTTGGTTTGATTCCCATCCTCGTCGTGATTTTTTGAATACACTTATTGATTACATGTAATCATTTTTCTTTTAAGCAAAGAATGATTACATTTGGAACATAAGAACTGCGCAGACGAGTGGCTGAGTGGTTAAGGCGATGGACTGCTAATCCATTAGGCTCTTCCCGCGCTGGTTTGATTCCCATCCTCGTCGCGATATTCGAAATTAGTCTTTTCTTACATATAATCTTTATTCTTTTAAAGTGACTGGTCCTTAAATATTAACCACAAGAACAGCGTATATGAGGTGGCCGAATGGTTAAGGTGATGGACTGCTAGTTCATTGGGCCCTGCCCACGTGTGTTCGAATCCCGTCGTGATATTCTAAATTCTATTGATTTTTTACACACAATCATTATTCTTTTCGGCAAAGGATAAAAAAATATGGAACATAAAGACAGAGCTGGCGAGTTGGCTGAGTGGTTAAGGCGATGGGCTGCTACTCCTTCGGGCTGTGCCCGTGTGTGTTCGTATCCCATCCTCGCGTGATACTTTAAATAACTTTTTTTATTTTTATTTAAAGGATCATTAAATATTGAACGGAACAACGTACACGAGGTGGCCGAGTGTTTAAGTTGACGGTCAGCTGATCCATTGGAATCTGCACGCCTGGGTTTGAATCCCGTCCTCGTCATGATATTTCAAATGTGTACTTATTTTTATTATATGTAATCATTATTCTTTTAAGGTATACAGAAGAGCAGCGAAGAAGAGTTGGCCGAGTGGTTAAGGCGATAGACTGCTAATCCATTGAGCTCTCCCCACGTGGGTTCGAATCCCAACCTCGTCGAAGTATTTTAAAATTTTTACTCGCACAATCATTCTTTTTTAATTCATCGGATCAAAAAAAATTGAACAGAGGTACTGTTTTCACAAAGTGGCCGAGTTATTAAGGAGATGGACTGCTAATCCATAATGCAACAAATTTTTATGTTACAAATAATCATTATTCTTTTAAAGTGACCGATTACTAAATATTGAACAACAGAGCAGCGTAGAAGAGGTGGCCGAGTGGTTAAGGCGGTGGACTGCTAATCCATTGTACTCTGCCAGCTTGGGTCCGAATCTCCTTCTTGTCTATATATTCTAAACTCATTGAATTTTTTTACTCGCAATTATTATTCTTTTAAGGCAAAGGATCAATAAATATTGAACAGAAAATTGGTGTAAACAACTTGTCCAAGCGGATAAGCTGATGGACAATTAATTCATAGGGTTCCGTCTGCGCTGGTTCGAATCCGATCCTCTTATTTAAATGCATTCTTTTTATTACATGCAATAATTATTCTCTTAAAGCAAAAGATCAATATTTATTGAACAGAAAAACAGCGTAGACGAGGTGGCAGAGTGGTTAAGGTGATGGACTGTTAATTCATTTGCCTCTGCCTGCGTGGATTCGAATTCCTGCGACTCTTAAATACTCTTTTTCACCCTTTAATTATTAATCTTATTTCGTGGATTCTTTACGGTTTTTAACACCCTTCCTAAATTAATATTTTTGATCGAGATATATATGCTATGGAGGTTTTTCAATTACAGCAATTAAGTGATCTAGTCTAGAATGGCACATCCTTCAATATTTCTACGAGGCCCTTCAAAGCCTACAAAAGAGGGAACTCTTAGCATTAAATCAATGCCTTTGTCGGCCCATAGAAAGGCGCTGGGCACCCCTGGGGGTCTACGGACCACAATTTATGAAGCGATGGAGTTGGAAGCAGTAAAATGCTTTCTTCGGTTTTGAATACAAGGTGTTCGGGCTTAAGGTAGCTAAGAGTCATAGCTCATTATTTTGGAGCTACCCATTAAAATGGGATAAACTAGTCACTGATGGATTGGAAACCCTTTCCGAGATTTTTTGTTAATAGTCCGACAGGCCGCATGTGCGCGCATTATTCGACGATCACAGTTGATAAACTTGTTACACTGACTTCGTAGTTAAGAAATGGGTGCCACAACAAAAGAGGCACTTATTGATGGGGATTCGAATTTTCTAGAACATTGGGTTTTGTGATGAATCTTGCTTTCCCATATGTGGAAAAGTTAATAAGCATAATTGCCGTATTTGGGGTAATGAAACTCTTTACCAACTGTGCGAATACGAAAGAGATACACTTAAAGATAATATGATTGTTAGGACTGCTCACAAATGGCCCCATTGGTCCATTTTTCTTCGTAGAGAAGACAGTTACGGGATACGTTTATCTTGATATGCTCGAAAACTTTTCTATTCCACAAATTCCATCAGGTTTTCTGTTCCAACAGAATGGGACTCCGCCAAGTAATCACGCTGATGTTATCGCATTTTTAATAGGAATTTCGAGGAAGATGGATTGGAAGATGGGACAAATTGCCTTTCCACCAAGGTCTCCAGATTTGACTCCATTAGATATTTTTGCTTGGGGACTCATTAAATCTGTTGTGTATAAACAAAATTTACAATTGTTAAAAAGTTGAAGGAGCGTATCTCATTCAAGTAATTAGTCTAATAACTCCTAATATGCTACGAAACAATTAGAGATAACTAGATTATCGTTTAGACAATTATCGTGCTACTAAAGAGGCACACATCGAAATATACAGAGCTTAATAAAAACTTGGTGTGGTATGATTTTTCTGCTTAATTTTTAAAATTCTAATGGGTAGTTCGGTAATAATAAGCCTTAACTTTTAAATACTTTTAGCCCGGGCACCCTGTAGACAAGTATCCGCGTGTGAAGAGCATAGATCCCCAATATCCTTTTGGTTGAGTCAACTAGTTGAGAGGAAAAAGTAGTTCTTGCGTGCTGACGGAGTAGCACAGCAGGGAATGCCATTGGAAAAAATATAGTTTAAAAAAAACTAAAAAACACGCTTTTATGGTTAATTGAACTAAAAGGTAAGAAAATAATTCTTAATATATGAATAAAATGAAAAACGAGAAAATTAATGTCACTATAGTAAAAGCGTGGGGTGCTTTTTGTACTACATTTTTACTCTAATTCAGCATTTCGAAATAGAACTAGTAAGAAATTATAACAATTAATATCGAGCACCCCACGCTTTCACCCCAATGGCATTAATTTTTTATTTTTCATTTTATTCTTATATTAAGAATTTTTTTTTTACTTTTTAGTTCCATTAACCATAAAAGCGTGTGTTTTAGAATTTTTTTTTAAACTATAAATTGTTCTTCATTTTTTTAGTTCGATCTACAATAAGAGGATGCTTTCTTTATTTTAGTTATTTAAACTGTCATTTATTTATTGATAAATTAATTTAAACTGCGTCATTTTTTAAGAATCTGGAATACCCATTGGCATCTTATCAGTGCGTCAATACGGCCTGGTTTGCAAAATGTAGGATCAGCCAACTGAAGAAAATCTGGAAAAGCTAAGTTTGAAATATTTCATACGGAAGTAGGTGCAAAATCAATGATACTTTTCACTAAAAAGGGCTCAATACTCTCTCTGAAAGTTGCACCAGCATTAGACATAAAAGTACCCGTTTTGAATCGAAGAGTTTGTGATAAATTATTTTTAATCCAGTAATCTCTGAATAAACTCTCAGATTTTTTGGTAGACGTTAAATCTGGAAATGTGATGTGGAATGAGTCGCCAAATCTGGAAATGGGAATTCAGTAATCCTAATCAGGACAATGGAACAAAATTATTAAATTATTGTGTTGTCATCAGTCTTTGACAATTGTGCAAAACTTCGGATTAATCTGACCTTTTAAAGTGGGTAAAAATCGAGTTCAAAGATTCCATTACATATAGATGAAGCTTATAAAAGCGTGTTAAAAAGGGCTCTGAACTTTCCATGAAGCAAAGCAATATTCTTCTGACTGGACTTAAAAATAAACTAGTAATTACTCTAGTGGGATACAGGCAGTTTAATATGCAGACAGTTTAAAGGCAGGATACAGGCAGTTTATAGTTTATTACCCATCACATTTAAGAGTAAAGACGAATATAAATATTGATATATCCCCATGTACTGGTACATTATAGCTGGGCGGAGGTCTAGATCATGCAACAAGGCCGCATTAGATATTTATAATCTAATAAAACTTTAATCGCAATAAATTTCCTTTAGCTAATAAACTAAAATGCTCACATCTTTTTAAACATCTATTGGCTATAAATATTAATATCGAAATTATTTTGTTATAACTAATCATATAAACTTAAAAAATATAAATCATTTATTCAGGAAAAAATACTTTACATAAATGATAAAAATAAACAACTACAGTAGATTTTAAAAATAGATTTTACATGCATTATCAACACAAATATAGATAAGTTGATTTTAAATTCACATTATATATATAGTAAGCCTTTAAGAAAATTAAAATAACTATTGGTTATAATTAAAACTAGTTTTTGTGAAAATAAAAATGTATTTGAAGACGATTAAAAAAGCATTGTAGAAAAATTAATATTGTGGAAATTCAGGATGTTATTGTATTGTGTCGAAGTCTCAATAATTTATATATGTATGACTGAAGAAAGTAATTAGATCTACAGCCTTGAGTTAGATAAGTATGTTTCTTTTGCAGAATAGTGATCAGCAAAGAACAGGTTTTGCGATAATCGACTACCAAGGGGGATTGCAATGCTTAAAGGGGGTATATAAATATATTAGCTGTTACCCACCCGCTTCACTGGGTATTTCACGATGTTGTATATATGTATACTGTTTACATATATATTAATTATTGATATCTGGCATTAAGAATTCGATTGTATTGAAAAATATATTTATAGCTGTTACACTCTCACCCCTTGATATAAAAAGAACATAAATTATAATATCTAATTTCTATTTATATCTAAACTATAAGTAGAAAGATTTTTTTCGCTCACTTAACCTAATAATCAAGTGGATTTCCACCAATGCAACTTTCAGTGGATCTCTACTCCATAAAATAAACATGCGTGCTAAATTTCAAGTCTAAATCTAACAGAGCAAAAACGGAATTTTTATCATCAATGCCTCGTTGACAGCATCCTTAGCGGATTCCAATTCAACAAATGAAGCATGCAAACCAAATTTTATTATTATAGTCTTAGCAGTTCCAAAACGGGAATTTTGTCTATCAATACGCCCCAATAACTTTCCCCGCTTCCCCCTGGAGTTGATTTCCATAAAATCTATTCTTAGTGGAACTTTATTCAACTAAAAAAAGTGCTCAACAGATTTCAAGTAAATGAGTTAAATTCAAAAAGAGGAATTTTTCTATAACACGCCTTAATCCCTCGCAACCCCACTCTTTTGGGGGTCCGTTTTCGCAAAAATCTTTGCAAAAGGAACTTTATTCCATGAACGGAACATACCTTCT